CTAAATCACATATATATATAATTCTATGAACACTGTCAAAAAATAAAGTAGTCCTTGTCACACAATAAATTAATTAATAATATATATGTAAATAAACAATAAAATAATAATCATATGGAAAAATATATTATTAAATAACATGCGACAAATATAAATATCAAATATAATATTAATTACATTCACTGATATATTTTATCTAATTCTCATAAATAAATATAATATATTAATATTATTATATAAATCTTTATGATATAATTATAAAATATAATTATAACTAATATCAAAAGGATAAAAACAAAACATAGAACCTGTAAATGTAATACATGAATGATACGCGAGTTTCCTAGAGAAATTATTAAATTATAAAAAGAACCCTGAAAAAAAAAATATTCCTAAATACTGAACCATATATAAATGAATATTAATTTAAAAAAGGTATAATTTTAGTTTATATGAAATTTATAGAAAAAAAATATATATACTTCATAACAAATATTATTAATAAGATGAGTAACTTCCAATGAGGATAACATATAAATAAACTTTGTTATAAAATCTAAATATTTAGGCATAATCCCTTAATATTTTGCTAATAATTTATAAAGGAGAACACAATAAATAACAAAAACAAGAAAAATCATTAAAGTGGTATTATATATGATGAATAATTAATATTTGTTTTATGTATATTTCGAATTTTCTGAAATTATGTTATATGTATTTTAATTACATATTAATAATGTAACATTAATTTAAATTAAATTATAAGAACATTTTTACATTTATTTTATATTTAATAATTCATATATATTATGTTTTTTTTTTGAAATGTAATTTAAAAAATTACTTCATATGATTATTTTTTAGCCATTATTATTTCTAATTTTTGAATAAGCAGATTCATGTGCAAGGATAATGAAGAACTAATAAATTCAGTAAATTATATATTTCGAATCGAGCTTTCTATATATTTTTTTAAAATATATGCTATAATGTTTTACCTGCTATTTAAAATATAAGTTTATGCTAAAAGTAACAATTTCTATATTTGCACATTACATATGAGATTAAAATTAGGCCACGAATAATTACTTAGGGACATTAATTAATTTATTATTTCTCATATTTCTTGTATTATAATATGTAAAAATGTCTAAAAAACAAGCGGATGTATGAATACATTTAAATTTATACATATTATTGTAAACATGTGTATTAATATATATACTGCAATTAATGTTTTGCAATAAAAAAAATATAATATTAGCGAATATCTAAATATTTATATTTTCCTTTTTTCCGTTTAATATATTCAGAAATTTACTAAAACTGATTTACCTTCAGTTAAATTTTATGAAAAGCTAGATAATGATTTTATGATATTAGTAGACGTGCCATACTGTGGTACTTTTTCTAAAGTAAAATACGGTACAAATGGACAAATTAAAGAACTTTGTAAAACATATATAAATTATCTAGTAAAACAAGTCCAAATATTCAGGAAATTTGAATACAAATACATGAATTGTAATAGTATAACATATTGGCTATATGATAAACTATCAACAACCCCTAAAATGGATGAAAGAAGTTGTTCTAATGCATTATCTGAAATTAACAATATGTGGGAAAGGGCTACTGAGAACGTTAATAGATCCGATGCTAAAAGTTGTAAACCTTATCTTAAAATTACTAGTTATCATGATAATTGGAATGATGCTAAAAAGCTCTTTGATTACTCTATGGATTTTAATTATCTTAAGGATATGGAAAACAATTGTAATGATAAGTGTGATGAGTTATGCGAATACCTCAATGACATAAATGATATATATGAGAGGTATGAAGACACTTCGTCTGGCAATAATAAACTTTTGTGTCCTCTTTCTAAAGATGAATATGATAAATGTAATCCAAGGTCATTGTTAGATAAGTTTAAATGTGTTACTTCGACTGAGGAATTACAATTGCCTAAACAGAATCTTAGTGTAGAAGGGGAGGCTACTGAAGAAGAGAAGGATAATGTACAAGAGGAGACTATAGTAGAAGGAGGTCCTGGTGGAGAAGAGGCTGGTAGCACTCTATTAATTAAAGAGGATTCTGAGGAGGATTCAGAATTAATAAGTGGAGAATCGCATCCTTTAAGTGCATTTGGTAATAAAGTAAATGAAAATTATATTAATCTATATAATGTTTATTATCCTAGTAAATGAATTTCACGTATATCCATATGTTATAAATTATTATATTGCACCTGTACATTATTATTCCTAAATTTACAAGTTCACACCCATAGGAAGACAAATTCAAAATAAGTTTCCAAATATGGATAATATGATAAGGAAGTTAAGTAAAAAAGGAAATAGATCACCCACCCATAGATTTGAGACTTATAACCCATTTGGTGAATATTTAGAAGAGAATTACATAGGATATAACCCTGTGTAATATTGTTAAATACAAAATAACTGTTAAGCAGTTTGCATTAATTGAGATAAAATTAATTATGGAATTAAAGAACACATAAATATTTTTTCTTATGTGAAAAAAAATACATATAGACTAAAAAGATTAATATGTCTTGTTCAGGGTTTAGGTTTAAAGGTTTAGTAGAATTAGATTGTCTTATAAATTATTTATATATAATTATGATTATGCTAATGAAATCAGTATTTTTTTTTCAAATTGATAAATTTTAGTTATAAGAACCATTCAACATTACTATGTACCTACAGATGTGGAATGCATGAAAAATGTAAGTACAGTTAAATTAGTATGATTTATCACACTGTAAGAGAAGCTTTGCAAAATAGGTGGAAAAAAGATCTATTCTATTGGATGGACTATATGCGATTTAATACATGTCAATTTATGTGTAAATTTAATGAACGATAAGAAGAAATAGATCTATTTTAAGGAAAATTAATATGTGATGGAATAAATTGTCCCTATTTGTTAATACATTTTTTGTAATAATGTAATCTACGAATGTATGTGAATTTATACCGAATTTACATATTTTAAAAATGATTATGTATTTTAATCAATATCTATTCAATAAAGTTATTTTTTGTTTGGTAATCTTTCGTTTTTATTTTGTTATAATTCTCATTTCAAAAGTATGTAGCATTGGTTTTAAGATATATTTACTTGTATACATTACATTTACAGTTAATTTGTTTATCTAATAATATAACTTTGAATGTAAAAATGTGTGATGTAAATTTGTATATATTTTGTTATTGTAAATATGTGTGGAACATGCTACATGTGTGTGCGGTGGCTATTTATGCAAAATTATATCATGAATGTTTTTTCTATTATATATATTTTAAATAAATATTATAATAGTAATTTCTTGAATAAATTATTTTCATAATTTATATATAAATATTTTAATTATTGTTGAATATATTATTAACCATTTATCATGTATAACTTATGTTAATGATAAAATTAAAAATAATTATAAACATCTGGAGCAAATATTTTTTCCATTATAAGAAGAAAACTCATAAGATATAATGAACAATGGAATCTATAGAAAAATGTGAAAATTCTGTAAAAGTAATAAAAAAACACACTAATTATTACATGTATATAAATTTATAGGAAATTGTCAAATACTTATGCAGAAAATAAATAGACAAATGAAATATGAAGAAAAGTAAAAGTGATAAATAACATGAACAATCCACATATCTAGAGTAATTTTCTTTGTGAGAATTACAAGAAAAGGACTTAATTTTCGAAAAAATCAATGTGGCTAAACATTTACACGTCCATTTAATAATTTCACAAATATAATTCTAAATCATTATCTGAACCTAATTTCGTTTGAATTAAAATTATGAATGAGGAAATTATAAAATTAAATTATGTTTTTTGAGATTTAAAAAATTAGAACTATGAAAAAAATTTATAATAACTTTTTTACAATCATTTTTAATAAAAGAATTGTGATCATGTATAGTAAGAAAAAATATACATTTAAAATAACTAAATTTAAATGTATTAATATAATGAAAATAAAAGGCACTCAAATTATTTGTTTCTTGATGGTTCTAATAAAGAACTATCAAGTGGAAAACCTTTATAATTTTTTTTTTTTTTGTTGCTGTTTAAAATAATAATTCCTTAAGAATTAGTATATCCACTAGTTACTAATTTGTAAATGTCTCATTTATATTAAACACATAAAAATAAAATTAAAAATGTTCTTTAAATCTAAAATGATTTTTTAACAAAAATTAAATTATCTGAAAGCACATTTGTTACTAATACATGAAAAAAATTTATAATGTAATGAAATTAATATTATCACTAACTCCATTATAACAATAGTATATTTTTTATAGAATCATATAACGAAAGAGCTTTTTTAGCACTTTTATAAAATTACCCATAGATTCACATCACTCCTATGCAGCACTATAGCATTTTCTAATGTGGAATATTTATATATTTTGAATTTTGTATTTTCTCATAGATTATTATGTTGTACATTAAAGAAAATTATAATAAAGAAATAATTTTTTTTTTTTTGAGGTGTAATTTAATGAAACAATTTAATATTATATATTATGTGCTTTTAAGTTCCTCATTTTTATCCACAAAATTTCCTGTAGCTTATTTAAATTGAAACATAATTTTAATTATTTTCCTATTAATCAATGTTCTAAAGGTGCATACTTTTCTTTCATTAATACTATTTATTTATATTTATGCGCCTTCATTAAAGTTATGTGTATTAATACATCCCTCTTATTAATAATGTAGTAAAAAGAGAAAAAAAAGGTGTTTCATCTTACACTTTATTTCCTACATTACCCATATACTAATCGTTCAACTGAGAAAATGGGTCATTCAATTTCATATTTAAATCTATAATA